GTTCGCCACGGTCGCGTGCCGCTGCTCGAGATCTTGTAACGACGAGGGTTTCCTTGCTGTCTTGAATGCTTCGCTCCGAGATGCATTCTACTGGAATAACTCTCTTTAACTCAGGATCTTATGTTGACGCCAATGCGGCAAGTGCATCTGCAGTTGTATTCTCTCCCCGAGGTATACGGATTAACTCAAATTTCGAGAAATTTTTGGATAGATCCTTCACCACTTCGAGGTACGCTTCCATTCTTGAATCTTTGGCCTCATAGTCTCCATTAAATTTGTTAACTACTAATTGCGAATCGCAATAAGCCAATATTTTCTTAGTTCCAACTCCTTGTGCTAGTCGAAGTCCGGCAATAAGGGCTTCGTATTCTGCTTCGTTGTTGGAGGCATTGAATAACAATCGGAATGATTGTTCTAGAATTTCTGATGTTGGAGATTCCAACTTGATTCCCACTCCGAATCCTTGTTTTGTTGAAGACCCGTCTACGTGTAATTTCCAAGTTTGGTTCTCCGGTTGCTCTATCGTTCCAGGTATTGGTAGTTCGGTCAGGAAGTCTGCTAAGACCTGAGCCTTCATACTGATTCGGCTTTTGAACTCTATGTCGTACTCGCTTAATTCCACCGCCCATTTCGCCAAACGTCCGGACTGACTTGGACTATGAAGTATTGTTTGAAGCGGCTGGTTAGTTAATACTTCAACCGTATGGGATTGGAAATATGGACGCAGCTTCCGAGCCGAAGTTACCACCGCGAGTGCAAGTTTTTCCATCATTGTGTATCTGGTTTCCGGATCCGTCATTGACTTGCTCACGTAGTAAATTGGTGTCTGCTCCCCACGGTCTTCCCGGACCAAGACTCCACTAACCGCGTGGTTTGAAACTGATACGTACAAGTAAAGTTTTTCATCCACTTCCGGTTTGGAGAGTATAGGTAGAGTGGTTAAGTATGCCTTAAGCTGCCCAAAAGCTTCTTCACACTTCTCATCCCAAAGGAATCCTTTGTTCCCTTTTAGAATTTGGTAGAAAAGCAACGACTTATCTGTTGATCTCGAGATAAAACGATTCAAAGCCGCAATCCGCCCAGTCAACCGTTGTACTTCTTTGAAGTTTCTTGGAGATGGCATGTTTAGAAAGGCGTTAATTTGATTTGGATTGGCTTCAATCCCTCTTTCTGTCACGATATAGCCAAGAAATTCTCCGGATGGGACTCCAAATGTGCACTTCGCCGGGTTCAGCTTCATTTGATATTTATTAAGAATATCAAAACAGTCTTCCAAATGTTTAACATGATCTTCTTTCTTTAACGATTTAACCAACATATCATCTATGTAGACTTCCATAGTCTTTCCGAGGTGATTGTGAAACATTTTGTTCACCAACCGTTGGTAAGTTGCTCCTGCATTTTTCAAACCAAAAGGCATTACCTTGTAACAATAGATACCTCTATCAGTAATGAATGACGTCTTTTCTTGATCATCGGGGTTCATCATTATCTTATTATAACCCGAGAAGGCGTCCATGAACGTTAACAGCTCATTTCCAGCGGTGGACTCTACAAGTCGATCTATATGCGGGAGCGGGAAACTATCTTTGGGACATGCTTTATTCAGGTCTGTAAAATCGATGCAAACCCTATCTTTCCCGTTCTTTTTCTTGACAACGACCGTGTTTGCTACCCACTCCGGATATTGCACTTCTCTTATGGACCCTATCTTCAAAAGTTTATCCACTTCGTCATTTACTATTTTTGCCCGCTCCACTCCAAGCTTTCTTCTTTTTTGTTTCACCGGTTTGAAGCTTGGATCCACGTTTAGTTCATGACAAATTATACTCGGATTTATGCCAGGCATGTCCACTGCTGACCACGCAAATGATGCTTTGTTTTTCCTTAAGAGTTCGATCAAAGCTTCTTTTATTTGGCCAGTCAAAGTTGCTCCAATTCGAATTTTCCGATCTGGTTTGTCTTCTTCCAATACCACTTCTACTACCACATCCTCTTTTTCCTACCCACTAGGAAATTTTTGCCTTAGTCCTTTTTTTGCGGGCTTTGTTAATTGCTATTGGATCTTCAAACGGTGGCTAGCTAAGTAACACGTCCGTGAAGCTTCTTGATCTCCCCGAATTGTTTCCACCCCATTTGATGTTGGAAATTTGATACATTGATGGTATGTAGAGGGGACTGCTTTCATCCGATAAATCCAGGGAGTCCCGAGGATGATGTTGTAAGCTGCGGGCTTATCGAAGACAACGAAGTCCACGATCTTCGATACCTTCTTGACAAGGACCGGTAGCTTGATTGTTCCGAGAGACATGGCTGACTCGCTTGTGAACGCAACTAACGGAGATGGGGGTCCTACTATCTCTCCTCGGCTGATTCCCATTTTTTCTAGAGTACTTAAAAAGATCAAGTCGACCGAACTGCCTGTATCTATAAGGATCCTTGATACTTCGAAGTTAGCGACATCAAGAGTAATGACTAGAGCATCATCATGCGGTCTTTCGAGATGCCGCGTTTCTTCTTCGTTAAATGATATTGAGGCACCTTGAAAATCAATTTCTTCGCTCAAGCTTGCTTTGAGTAAGACATTTCGCCTATGCTTTTTGATGGAACTTATTGAATCTCCGCAAAATCTGGAACCTCCTAGAATCACATTGATCTTACCCTTCGAACTCCTTGGTTCTTCCTCGTTGGATAACCTTGGTCTTTTGGAGTCTTGATCTTTGGAGTTTTCCTTTGCTTCGTGGTATTCCTTCACAAAATCTTTTATATCGAATTTAGAAAGATCGCCACTAGCCCAAAGCTCTGCGAGGTGCTTTTTAAGAACGTTGCAATCCTTGGTTAAATGTCCGGTCACTTTATGAATGTCACAATATAGACTTTCATCACGGACCCAAGTGTTTGATCTTCCTTTCCCTTGGAATTGCTTTCCGACGGTATTGTTGAAGGGTTGCGATCCAAATTTCCTTGGTCCTTTGCTCTCCCTAGGCTCGAACTTCTTGGTAGGGACGGTGATTGCCGGCTTTTCTTGCTTATTTATTTTGGCAAAACTTTCTTTTTCGTCCTCTACCTCCATCCAATTGTTTGCACGGAAGAGTGCATCCTGAATTGTATCTGGTTTATGAAGTATTAAGTCTTCTTTAAACCTTGAATCATGTCGCAATCCTTTTCGTAGGGCAGATAAAGCTGATTGCTGCGAGATTCTTGGGAGTTTTGACAGTACTCCTTTGAATTTGGTGATGAAAACTCGAAGTGACTCATTAGATCCTTGCGATAAGTTCCAAAGATCGGCATCTGAAACGCTTTTATCCATAAGGATAGAGTATTGCTTTAAGAATACGGCTGATAGTTCGTCGAAATTACTGATCGAACCCGGCTCTAATTGGGTGAACCACATTAGAGCTTGGCCACATAGATTCTCTGAAAACAGCTTGCAGTAGCCTGCGTCCTCATCAGCTTCATCCAATTCGACTCTTCCAGCAGCGATCAGAAAAGCTGCGAGATAGCTTTTTGGATCCTCCAATCCGCTGTAAGGATCCAATTTGAGTTTCCGGGAATCTTTGATCCTCAAACTCGCAATTCGCGAGATGAAAGGTGTTCGCCTAGCTTCTTCAATGACTCGATTGATGTCTGGCTCTGAACTTGTAGCTTGATGAAATTTTGATTTCATTTCCTTTAATTCCTGGCTAACCTTCCTCATGGTCTCGAACTGGTCGAGGTTCTCCTGCTCGTATTGAGCTGCGAGTTGTTCTTCATCCCTGAGCTGCGTCTCTTCTTCCAACGTCTGAGCTACATTATTAGTAGCACCGGGAGTTGTTTGTCCGCTAGTTTCATTTCGTGCAGCGGAACTTGTCGAGTTGAATATCCCTCTTCGGATTCCCACCGGGTTTCCTACACTTAAAGAGCGAACACGAGTTTGTATAGTATTGACGTTTTGACTAAGAGATACCTGGGACGTTTGCAACGTATCGACGGCCTTTTCTACATCCGAGAACTTTTGTGATATGTCCGCCATGGTTTGCTGCATAGCTTTGAGGGTTTCGGCCAATGATGTCTCAGCAGCGTCTCCTCCGGACATTGTTGCTTATCTCGGAAATGTAGAAAAGAAAAAATCTGACCACTCAAGAATCCTATCTCCCCACAGGCGGCGCCAAAATGTGGATGTCGGATTCACACACTCAAGTATTTTAATAAGTAGGAAAGATTATTCTTGAAGGACAAAAATGAATATGTAAAAACTTATAAATTGATACGAAAATTGCTATAGTATTTCTCTCTTTCGTGAGGAAGATCCCCTTTACATGGCCATTGGCCTTTATATTTATACATAGAGAAACGACATTAAAATGAACAATTAAGTACAATTATTCCTTCTTAAATGTGTCCGTTTTGATTCTTCGACTTTAATGCTCAACGTTTGAATTTGAGTTGACTCTGATCTTCATGGGCCTCGCCTCTTTTGGCCCAAGTGTCCTTGAACCGACTTACCCGTGTCTTCTACACCGAACTCGTGTCTCAGTGCAGTCACTTCGGATTCTCGAGATGGTGACAACCACTTCGACCGTCCCTTCGGCCCACGGGTCCAATGGGCTTCATCCTTTATGGGCCATTATCTTGATTACGTGGCAATCTTTGGTTGGTCTCGTACTTCTGGTGCGGGATCCGACACCAACAGTCGATATCAAAATGAACAGTGATGTCTGCACATTAATATCCTCTGATCAATGGCACTTGTGTAATTAATAAATAAAAGAAGGATACTTTTGGTTTGCATTTTATTTTTCTTTCATACTTACCCAATTTTCAAATCATTATGGCTACAAATTTAATTAATTGGTCAACTGAGCATATAAATTAATATAACCCTTTATAAATAAGCTCATCTTCGAAAATAATTAGTTTTTAAAAAATCCTTGCTTGTTGAAGGCTTTTTGTCTTCTTAACTTATTCGGCAATTCTGATGCATACATTTTACTATAACTCACATAAATAACAAAATAAACAAAAACAGAACATATCACAAATTTAAAGATTCTACAACCACTAAAGATCTTAGCTTTTATTCAACTCCAAGCTTTGTTATTATTTTTTGTCTCTTTTCTTCCTAACTTTGATCTCTTACGCAACTAATATCCATGCATTCTCCTATATATAACATCAACTAGCAGTAACTTAACTTGAGTATATCAAAACCAAGTTCAATCTACTAAACCAATGAAAATGCAAGCAGTTCTTGTTATCCTGGTTTTCTCCGGTTTAATCTCGGTTAAGACAACGCTAGCAGCACAACATGTGATCGGCGGGAGCCAAGGCTGGGAACAATCCGTTGATTTTGATTCTTGGTCTTCTGATCAATCTTTCAAAGTCGGCGACCAAATCGGTACGTTTCCCTCTAATCTCAGTTTCATAATCAAAACCGACCGGTTTTATACTAACCAACCCATTTGTTTCTTGTAGTTTTTAAGTACTCCGGACTACATAGCGTTGTGGAGCTAGGAAGCGAAACGGCATACAAGAGTTGTGACCTGGGAACATCAGTCAATTCCTTAAGCTCTGGAAACGACGTCGTTAAGCTTTCTAAAACCGGTACTCGTTACTTCGCTTGTGGAACCGTTGGGCATTGCGAACAAGGCATGAAGATTAAAGTCAACGTTGTCTCTTCTGACTCCAAATCCGCTTCCTCTCCGGGTTCAGGTTCGGATTCAGGGTCGGGTTCTGGATCTAGTTCGGGTCATGGGTTTCGTGCTTCCGTTGGATACATTTTCGTTGTTGGATCGTTGGCTATTGGACTTTTTTGGGCTTACTGAGGAATTTTAGGCTTTTGTAATGTATCGAATATATATTTGTGGGGAGAGAATAAATATTTTTGGAATTATTAATTCGTACTTGTTGTTGTATTTTATATAGTTCGGATATTTGAAATTATGATCTTATTCTATTATATATATCTTGTTTTTCATGTTTTCTCAACCGATTGTCCACTTGATTGGTTCGGTTGGAATATTCTTTATTATGCTTTCTCATATAATCGTCTTTTATTTTTTCTGCCATCAACATTATTAATTTGAATTAATTTGTTATTTTCTTTATGGATTGGTGGATAAACTTTATATATATATATAAATAAGAACATTATGTTGACCAAAAAAAACAACATTATTGATTTGTTTTGTTAATATCAAGTTTTTTTGTACACAATTTAGTTTAGTACATAAAAAATAACATTTCAGCACATCAAATAAACAATTTTTATTTATTAAATACAACATTTATAATTGAAATAAAACTTCCAAAATCCGTAGTAATCATTTTTTTGTCATCGTAAATTTTATTAAAAATAGCAAAACTACATACATATATTAGTAAAAACAAAAATATCTCTAAAAATTAAGCCGATGAAATGTTGAAAAATTAGATTTAGATTTAGATTTAGCGGTTTTGATTTATATTTATCTAGTTTTTTTTTTAATTTAAATAAGGTCGTTGTCACCTTATTGTTATTATGGTTAGTTTCTTTAATTCAAGGAGTATTTTAATACGTTCGAGTTTCTCCCAAAAAACATTTTAAAAAGACGGAGGGAGCGAGAGAGTGGACAAGTGGGTTGCTAAATTGTGCAGAAATCGTCGTCACTGATCACTTACGAATCCTTTTTTTCTTCTCCGGAGACCAAATCGGAATTTTCACTCTCTTTACATTCACCGGAATATTCAATGCCGGAAGATTCTAATGCGATTGACTATGTCATGGAGAAGGCATCGGGGCCTCACTTCTCCGGTCTTCGCCTTGACGGTCTCCTCTCTTCTCCGTCGAAATCCTCCGTCTCTTCTCCTTCTCACTTCCGTTTGAGTAATTCATCTTTTTCCGCTATCGACGATCCCGCCGCTCCTCATCAGCCCTTCGTTATCGGTGATTTTCGATTCTCGCGCTTTGATTCTTGCTTTAGTCAACAATCGAACTTTCTCTAATTCCGATCATCGTGTATTATCTCTCAATTTCTTTAAATTGGCGCTTCTACTGCATTATATAGGGTTTTATCTTAGGGTTTTAGCTTTTCGAAATTTCCGGTAGCATTTGTGATTCCTAAGATTAGAGTAATCTGGATCAATATCAGTTTCTAGGGTTTAATCTTGTTATCCTTTGTTTAGAGAATTTTGTTTTCCTTTGACTTTATGTAGGAGTAACTGGTGGTACTGCTTCTGGTAAGACCACGGTGTGTGACATGATTATTCAGCAACTTCATGATCATCGCATTGTTCTAGTTAACCAGGTTAGATTCTGTAGCTAGTCCTGTTCTCAGTTCTTTTGAGATTCCCTCTTTGTTGTGGTACTCTGATGCTGTTTGTTTGATTAGGATTCCTTTTACCGTGGTCTGACATCTGAAGAACTGGAGCATGTACAAGAATACAATTTTGATCATCCTGGTAAGTTGGTTCTTCTGATTTGGGAATACTGGTAGTCAGCTGAGGAAAATTTTGGTGAAATTTGACCGTCTGTTGTTTCTCGTTTTTTTCTCAGATGCCTTTGACACTGAGCAGCTTTTGCATTGCGTTGACACACTCAAGAGTGGGCAACCCTATCAAATTCCAATTTACGACTTCAAAACCCATCAACGTAAATTAGATGCTTTTCGCCAGGTGCATAATCTTCTGTGGTTGATTTTTATGTGGCTGTTTTCTAAGATGTGTCTTCATTTGTTTGACCTCCTTATATGGTTCCTTTCTGTGGTTTTATGGGTTTAGCTTCTAACTTCATGTGGCTGAATCTTCGAATTATCCCTTGTTAAAATCAATTTTTGTCAGGTCAATGCTTGTGATGTCATAATTTTGGAAGGGATTCTAGTTTTCCATGACTCAAGAGTTCGGGACTTGATGAATATGAAGATCTTCGTTGACACAGGTTAACTAGCTGCACTGTATTGTCTCTCTTTCTTTTTTTTGTTCTCTTTCAGTTGACCTTATCTGTTCTGCACAACTATAATCCTCTTTGAAGTTAAAAAAGTCCTCATCTTAGCTATTTATTGGTTCCAGATGCTGATGTGAGGCTTGCTCGCAGAATCAGGCGTGACACGGTTGAGAGGGGTAGGGATGTTGATTCTGTGCTTGAACAGGTTAGTCTTTGTTTCAGGTTTTGGTGTCAAATTTGTCACTAAGGTTCACCTATCTAAGTTAGTGCTCTAATGTGTGAATACGAGACCAGGAATTAGCAACTTATAGGTTTTTTTTTCCAATACTGAACAATTCAATGTCCCTCCTGTTGTTTGTGTGACTCTGGTTTAAATCCGCTCTTTGAACTGTTCTTCTATTAAACACTATTGTTTTCTGAGCTTTATATTTCCACTTTTCTTGTTTTGAGGGTGTTATGTTCATTTGCAGTATGCAAAGTTTGTGAAGCCCGCGTTCGATGATTTTGTGCTCCCCTCAAAGAAATACGCAGATGTGATCATTCCCCGAGGAGGTGACAATCACGTTGCAGTTGATTTGATTGTGCAACATATCCACACAAAACTTGGGCAACATGATCTCTGCAAAATCTACCCAAACGTTTTTGTTATTGAATCAACATTTCAGGTAATTTCTGCCTTTTTCAGCTGTTTGACTTTCTTGATTCAGACAGTAAGGCTTAAAACCATCTTCTCACTTTAAGATCATAATTTCAGATAAGAGGCATGCACACACTCATTCGAGAGAAGGACATATCAAAACATGACTTTGTGTTTTACTCAGATCGCCTCATTCGTTTGGTACTCTCTTAACTGGTGTCATCCCTTTAAATGTTACTCAGCTTCCAAGCCTAGTCATTTCAATTGTTGATGCCTTTATTTCAGGTTGTGGAGCATGGTCTTGGCCATTTGCCTTTCACTGAGAAACAAGTAGTTACTCCAACAGGTATAAGAGGAGATGGCTTGAGCTGTGCCTAGACTTTATAATTTTTTATTTTAATGGTAGTCATGGTGTCTGAAATTCTAGTTGGTGAGATCCTTTAACGTCTCTGTCACATGGATCTAGAATGATTGTATGTGCCTTGTGGAAATCAAAGTGAAAACCTCATGCTTTGGCATTTTCTGATTGATTTCATCCACACAATCATAATTTCTATTTTTTACAAATCAGGATCTGTGTATAGCGGTGTTGATTTCTGCAAGAAACTTTGTGGGGTCTCAGTCATTCGAAGGTGAGCGTTAAAAGGTATTACGTGTTTTAGAGTTCTTAATAATGGACACATGAGCTTTTTAATATTCCAATTTGTTTATATGTTCAAACTATGGAACATGGGTAACAAACAGTGGAAGCATAGGTTTTCTCATGTGTTGAGTGAGTGCCTTTTTTAATTCTTTTCTCTTGCCTAAAATTTTCTGTTTTGTACGGTTTGTTAGTGGTGAAAGCATGGAAAACGCATTACGCGCATGTTGCAAAGGGATTAAGATAGGGAAGATTCTCATCCATCGTGACGGCGACAATGGAATGCAGGTTTTTTTTTTTTTTTTACTTCGTTCCAACAACAGTTTACAAAGATATTGTCTCTTTTCTAAAACTCAGAAACTTTCTCGCATTTGAATCAGCTTATATACGAGAAGCTTCCAAGTGATATCTCCGAGCGTCATGTCCTGCTATTAGATCCCGTTTTAGGCACAGGTAATTTCACTTTCTTCTATTTCTCTATATTCTGCTTTGAAGTGTATATTCTCTGAATCTTTCCATGGTGAAGGTAACTCTGCAAATCAGGCAATAGAACTACTCATACAGAAAGGAGTACCTGAAGCCCAAATTATATTCCTCAATCTCATCTCAGTGAGTCTTAAAACCGACCGTAACTTGGTCCGTCTCTCTCTATCTCTCAGTCATAAAACTCACAAAAGATTCTGTATTGTACAGGCGCCAGAAGGAATCCATTGCGTCTGCAAACGGTTTCCAAAGTTGAAGATTGTCACGTCAGAAATCGATCAGTGTCTGAACGAAGAGTTCCGGGTTATACCAGGCTTGGGTGAGTTTGGTGATCGCTACTTTGGTACCGACGAGTAGAAGCACCAAAGTGTTTGTCAATGTTTATTGTGCTTGTGTGTGAATGGAAGTGTTTTTCTTTGTCTAAAGAATCTTCACGGGCTTTGTTTTTTTTTCCCTCTGCTGGGATTGGGAAGCTTCTCGCTTACTAATTAATTACTAGGATCGAAAAACTCATTTCAAGATTCTTGGTTTACGCAGTTCATATTTTATTTTTATTTTTTTCCGTGATCGAATTCTGACTTTTTGGTCAAAAAACTACTTTCATTAGAACCAGTAGTTTTCCCACAAGAAACCTCGAATTTCATAAAATTTCACTACATTGGTTTTGATCTATGAGATTGATTTCATAAAAATGTTTATTTTACACTGATTTTTGTCCATTGTTTAGTAATATAAAAAGTATATCCTTTGAATTAACATAAATGACATTATTTTAGTTTATTTTGTCAACCATACCACATCAAATTGGAAAACCGGGTTGGACGCGTTCCTAATTTTAACACTATGGGCTAAACAATAGGTCAGGGAATTCAAGTACAAAAGAAACTTAATAGGAAAAATTATATTAAAAAACACCATCAAATAATATTAAAACATATTCAACCGATCTAATTTATATGTTGTATAAGAAGATAAAACTCATGGAAAACGTTTTTGATGAATAAACGACAAGAACATAATTAATCATGCACATACAAAGACATTATAGGATTCACATCTTTATACACACATAACACATTCACATAGTTACATCATCACATCACCACTTTTGTCTTCTCTCAAAAGATAAAAGAGGAAGAAACTCATAAGTCATGAGCTTCTTTCATACACGGTTCCATCTCTTTTTCATTTCATATATATTTCGAATTTTAGATCTCGACTACACTAGTGTCTATTGTGTTATAATGCGAAAATCGTCTTGGATCCCTCCAATTAATTACGCATCCATTTACTATAATTACTGACACTATACTATAGTGTCCAAAAATCAGACTTCTAATTACAAGTGCATATATCAATAAAAACACACACTACCTTAAAACTACAAACTATTAATATAAATGGAAACACACAATACATACACACACAAAATCAATGTAAACAAATCAATTACTTCGGTGCAAACAGAAGACTTTTCAAATGATGTCGATGAAGCTCATGTCATGGAAAACGTTTATTGAGTTTAGGTGTGTATGTGTATATATACATACACTAAGACTAGAGATCAACAAAACTAAATTTCATCAACAGATTTTTCATTACTTAGAAAACTTTGCATTCTCATATTTTCAAAAAATGAGCTTTCTTCTTCGTTCAATTTGTTTCCTTTTCATTTTAAATTTTATAAACACCTTTGCTTCTCCTACACGGCACTTATGCCGCCCCGACCAAAGGGATGCCCTTCTTGACTTCGAAAGCGAGTTTACGATTCGGAATCTTGATACTGATTATTTTTCTAGTATTTCTTACCCAAAAACGAAATCGTGGGCAAAGAGTAGTGATTGTTGTTCATGGGACGGTATCACGTGCAATGCCAAGTCCGGCGAAGTGATCGAGCTAGACCTTAGTTGTAGCTGCTTCCACGGAATACTCAATGCCAATAGTAGTCTTTTTAAGCTACAAAAGCTTCGTGTCCTCAATCTTGCTAACAACGATTTCGAGTCTTCTATGATACCAACTCAATTCAATAAACTCATGGAGTTAACAAGACTCAATCTTTCCGATTCTTGGTTCTCGGGTATAATTCCAACAGAGCTTCTTCATCTAACCAAGTTAGTGTCTCTCGATCTTTATTCTAATTCTTTATCAGCTGAAAAGTCATTTCTTAGCAAACTCGTCCAAAATTTGACAAACCTAGAGGAACTTTACCTAGGTCTTGTTAACATTTCTTCCGAAATTCCTCAAAATATCTCAAACCTATCATCTCTCAAATCACTCTCTCTTGATGATTGCAACTTGATTGGTGAATTTCCAAGCAGTCTTTTTTTGATTCCTACTATACAATCCATTAACTTGAACGGAAATCAAGATATGGAAGGTACTCTTCCAGAGTTTAATGTAAAGAACTCTCTTGTTTCGTTGGATCTTTCTTGGATAAAACTTTTAGGTAACATACCTTACTCTATCGAAAACCTCAAGCATTTGAACACTTTGAAACTTCAGTTTTGCAAATTCCATGGAAAGATTCCATCTTCATTTGGAAATCTTACTAATCTATCCGTTCTCGACCTTTCAGATAATTATTTTAGTGGTCCGATCCCTTCTTCCTTTGGAAACCTTTTCAATCTCACCTACCTTGACCTTTCTTCAAATAGATTTGATGGCCAAATTCCGTCTTCGTTTGTCAATCTTGAGCAACTAACCACTTTACGCGTTGGTTCTAATATGCTTAGTGGTAACTTTCCTCTTTCACTACTCAATCTTACAAAGTTGACAGATTTATCACTCGCTGACAATCATTTCAAAGGTTCACTCCCTCCAAATATGAGTTTACTCTCTAACTTGGAGACTTTTGATGCGAGTGACAACACTTTCAATGGAACTCTTCCATCTTCTCTCTTCAACATTCCTTCTTTGACTTCTATTGTTTTGAAAAATAATCAACTCAACGATATTCTTGAATTTGGGAATAGCTCTTCACCGTCTAAACTAGAAAGGTTATCACTCAGCCATAACCATTTCAGAGGGTCAATCCCAAAATCCATTTCAAGATTAGTCAATCTCTACCAGCTTGATCTTTCCCATTTTAACGCGGGGATGACAGTCGACTTTAGTATCTTCTTGCAACTCAAGGGGCTCATAGATCTGGACCTAAGCTATTTGAACACCACCAATACTGTTGATTTAAGTATCATATTCTCACATCTTAGTCTCCTATCTTCATTGCATCTATCCGGGGTGCACGTCTCAACAACAAAGATGGGTTCAGTTTCCAAGCTACCATCACGCATGAACCAGTTGCTCTTGTCAGGCTGTGGTATCACAGAGTTTCCAGAGTTCGTAAGAAACCTACAACATATTTCTGACTTAGACCTCTCCAACAACAAAATCAAAGGTCAAGTGCCGCAATGGGTATGGAAACTACCACAGTTGATGATACTTAATCTTTCCACCAACTCTTTTACTGGTCTCGAAAGATTCTCAAATGATTTCCCAAGACCGAAGATTATTTTGTTAGATTTGAGTTTAAATGCGTTCCAAGGACCGTTAGTTATCCGACCAGTCTATATGGAAGCCCTGCTCGTCTCCCAAAACAACTTCACGGGAAAGATCCCGCGATCAATTTGTCAGCTAAGCTCTCTACAAGTCCTTGATTTATCGAACAACAACTTCACCGGCTCAATACCTCGGTGTTTAAAGAAACTGAATAACTATCTCTCAGTGCTTAACCTCCGCAATAATCAACTCAGTGGAAACGTTCCAGAAATATTTACCAATGCTACCAAGTTAATTTCACTTGACGTCAGCCACAACAAATTGGTGGGAACACTTCCAAGGTCTTTGAAAAGCTGCTCTAGCTTGGAAGTTTTCAACGTGGGAAGTAACGAAATCAATGGCTCTTTTCCATTCTGGTTGAATTCTTTGCCTAAGCTACAAGTACTTGTACTCCGCAACAACAAATTCAACGGACTCTTATACAATCTTCATCATACTTTTGGGTTCCCCAAGCTGCAAATCATTGACATAGCCAACAATCACTTCACCGGGAACTTGCCATCATACTACTTTGCTGATTGGAACATGACAACACGTAAAGATTTTTCAGGATTTGACTACATTGGATATGGTGGAGGTTATTACTACGACTCGATGAGTAAAGGACTAGAGATGAAACTACGGATTTTTACACTCCCAACAGCCATCGATTTTTCGGGAAACAAACTCCGAGGAAAGATCCCTCAATCCATTGGTATGCTCAAGGATCTTATAGTGCTTAATATGTCAAGTAACGGTTTCACTGGTAACATCCCTTCATCTTTGGCGAATCTTACTCAACTTGAGTCACTAGACTTATCACATAACAAGCTCTCAGGTCATATCCCACCTACTCTCGGAGACCTCACTAGCCTATCTAACATTACGGTTTCACACAACCAGCTCGTCGGTCCAATACCACAACGCGCACAGTTTCAAACACAAGATGCTTGGTCTTTTGAAGAAAACTTTGGACTATGTGGTCTTCCTCTTAGTAAAAGTTGTGGAAACGTTGACATGGAGCAACCACAAGAGCAAGAATCAGAGGAAGAAGAAGAAGTAATAAGTTGGATTGCAGCTGCCATAGCGTTAGCACCTGGAGTCATCTTTGGATTGACAATTGGACACATTGTCATTACACAAAACCCTCAATGGTTCGTGACCGGACGTCGATGATCACGTTAGGTCATTTCAAATTGTGAGGTATTTAATCAACAATTGAAGCATAGATATGAAAATATTGTTGCAACTTGTATCTTGTAACTAATTTACCTTTCTCTTTTGATTTACAGTTTGAGAAGAAGCTAACACAAAACAAACTAAGGAACAAGGAAGACTAATAAGAGAGATTTATTCTCTATATATGCAATTCTTTTTTTCAATATCGATGCATTAATATTTTTTTGAGTAAATTTATTGATTTCAAAACCAAATTACAATGTTAGTGTAATGGAGATCAATTATGAATTAACGAATGTGTTTTTCAATTAATCTATTTTTTATTAGACACTTTAGTATATTTGTGATCAACGTATAGCGAATAGTCGACTAGAGGATTCAACCCTCAAAGCCCAAAAGGATATGTAAATCTCAACCGGGTAAAGGATCGGGACGGGTCAATCTGGGTCGGGTCTAATTGATTTCATACACGGTTCCATCTCCTTTTCGTTTCACATCTCAATTATTAGATCTTGACTAGACTAGTGTCTATTGTGTTATAATGCGAAAATCGTCTTGGATCCCTCCAATTTTAAGATCAGTAATTCTGCATCCATATACTATAATTACTGACACTATAGTGTCCAAAAATCAGACTTCTGGTTTACAAAGTGCATATATTTTTGAACTATGAAACCTATATTTTCTCAAAAACACAAAAAAAAAAAAAAAGACTATAAAACCTATATACACCACAAAACAAGTTTTACTTAACAAAATATGATATTTAAGATGTAATTTCAAAAATACAACCAAAATTTATGTTTAGTAATCCTACCTACAATTTGTAGGATTAATTTTGCCATTTTGATGGTAATTTTGGACAATAAAACATTTTTTTAAAAAAAGGCTTTGTTCAAATCAATGAAAAAAATCAATTATTTCGGTTCAAATGAATTGTACGGTTCATGCAGCTAATGTCATGGAAAACGTTTATTGAGTTTAAGGTGTGTATGTGAATATATATTACATAACGCAAAGAGACTAGAGAGAGATCCACAACACTATATTACATCAATAGATTTTTCATTACTTAGAAAACTTTGCACTCTCATATTTTCAATTTCTTCTTCGTTCAATCTGTTTCCTTTTCTTACTTCATTATCATAGTTTGCTTCTCCTACACGGCACTTATGCCGCCCCGACCAAAGAGATGCCCTTCTTGAATTCGAGAGCGAGTTTACGATTCAGAATCTTGATACTGATTTTTTTTCTAGTATTTCTTAACCGAAAACGAAATCATGGGCAAAGAGTAGTGATTGTTGTTCATGGGACGGTATCATGTGTGCGATGCCAAGTCCGGCAAAGTGATCGAGCTAGACCTTCGTTTCAGCTGCTTCCATGGCAAACTCAATTCCAATAGTAGCCTTTTTCAGCTATAAGAGCTTCGTGTACTCCTCAATCTTGCTAACAACGATTTCGAGCCTTCTATGATACCAAATCAATTCAAGAAACTCATGGCGTTATCACGACTCAATCTTTCTGATTCTTGGTTATCGGGTATAATTCCAACAGAGCTTCTTCATCTAACCAAGCTAGCTAGTGTCTCTTGATCTTTATTCTAATTCTTTATCAGCCCAAAAGTCATTTCTTAGCAAACTTGTCCAGAATTTGACAAATCTAGAGGAACTTTACCTAGGTCTTGTTTCCCCAAAATATCTCAAACCTATCCTCTCTCAACTTGATTGGTAAATTTCCAAGCAGTCTTCTTTTGATTTTCTACTATATATACAATTAACTTAAATGGCAATCAAGATATGGAAGGCTCTCTTCCAGAGTTAAATGTAAATAACTCTCTTCTAGTTATAAAGTAGGTAAAAAAAAAAACATTTTTTTGTTTTGTTTGGAAATTAACTACATTTACCTTTCAAAAGAGTAACATATTTTAGGAAAACCTCTCTGTTATTGTTAAACTTCCTTTTGTAAAAATATAGCAAATATTAAGTCGTCATTCAATATATATACTAGTTAATTCTTCTTCCTAAAGCAATATAGAGAGTTTACCTAAGAAGAAAGAAAAATCTTAAAAGTATGTGCAACATATTCATGGAGGAAACTTAATAAATAGCGTCATAATAATATACCTTTGGAATGGAGAGCGAGGGCGATTTGGAGACGACGGCGACAGGAGTGCAGGATGCTACCATGATGGATATCGGGGAAAGGGTTCGACCTCCGGGGGATCCGCCTGATGGTGTCCAGTCATGGGTAGCGAAAGCCAGGGGAGGTTTGGGGGGTGGTATGCCGACGCCGGAGAGTGTTTTGGATGATGAGTTTGTGAGATCGAGGCTTCAGTTGGAGTTTCCTAATGGAGAGGATGGGGAGCCGGTGATAACAATCGGTGCAGAGGTCATAGAGGCGATGAATGGGCTATGGAAACGGTGTATGGTGGTGAAAGTGTTGGGAAGTCAGGTTCCGATTTCGGTGTTGAGCCGAAAGCTGCGGGAGTTGTGGAAGCCAACAGGAGCTATGTATGTTATGGACTTACCTCGCCAGTTCTACATGATTCGGTTTGAGTTGGAGGAAGAGTACATGTTTGCATTGACAGGAGGTCCGTGGAGAATTTTTGGGAATTACTTAATGGTGCAAGATTGGTCATCGTCTTTTGATCCGTTATGGGACGACATTGTTACAACGCCGGTGTGGGTGCGTTTAACGAATATCCCGGTGAATTACTATCATAAGTCGATCTTAATGGGCATTGCACGAGGGTTGGGAAAACCTCTAAAGGTGGATTTAACGACGTTGAACTTTGAAAGAGCTCGTTTTGCTAGAGTGTGCGTGGAGGTGAATCTAGCGAAGCCTCTTAAGGGGTCAGTGTTAATTAATGGAGAAAGGTACTATGTTGCTTATGAGGGACTACTGAAAATATGTTCTCAATGTGGAATGTATGGTCATCTAGTTCATGGGTGTCCCAAGGCTGTTGTGGATAGAGATTTGGTCCCAGCACAATCGAGTAAAGGAAAGGAAATTGCGGTACAAGCAAGTCAAGATGATGGGTTCACGGTGGTCAGAAGAGGAGGAAGACGGCAGGAACCACCGGTGAACAATATGGTGTTTGCGGCAGGGACATCTAACGGGAATGTAGGGAGAAATCTCCGGGAAATCACGGGAAATCGGGAATTGGAGATATCAAACAGATTTGGAAGGTTGGAAGATAATTCGGTATCTCGTGATTTAAGGGAAGTTGCCATGTCTAGTGGACCGAATAAGGAGAATGAAAGTGTCCTGGCTCGATCGTATATGGAAGGGCGTATCCTGCAAGTTAAGGAGGGAAATGTTAATTTGCCAACAGAGAAAACAAATAAAAACGTGGGTCGTTATGTCCCTAAGGCTAGGAGAGGAGGTGGGCCTAAGGGAACAGATGCTAATGGGCCAACACAAAAGCAATGGGTTGTGACGAAACCTTCACGTGGGCTGGTTTTTGGCCCAAGAAAAGGAGAAGAAGTTTTAATTGCTAATGGAAAAAGATTACGGGTTGAAACAGTGAGTCCAGGAAGACAAAGAGGAGTGGTTTTCAGTGATCGTGCGGTTCAGCCGATGGAGAGGGGTTTGGCTTTGGACACGCAAGACACTGAACAGCTTCACCGGACTTCAGAGACTAGTATGGAGATGAATGATGGCGAGCTGCAGAAAAATGCAGCAGATGGAGGAAGATCGGAGAGGGCATAACGAGTTGCCCCGGCAGTTTGGAGAAGATACCAACATTTTTTAATGGATTGTTTATTGTGGAACTGCCGGGGGGCGAACAAACCTAATTTCAGGAGAGCAATTCGCTATATGCTGAAAAAAAAAACATTGATGTGTTGGCTCTGTTTGAGACACATGCGGGAGGGGATAGAGCAGGAAGAATTTGTCAGGGCCTTTGTTGGTGTCGGATCCCGCACCAGAAGTACGAGACCAACCAAAGATTGCCACGTAATCAAGATAATGGCCCATAAAGGATGAAGCCCATTGGACCCGTGAGCCGAAGGGACGGTCGAAGTGGTTGTCACCATTTCGAGAATCCGAAGTGACTGCACTGTGACACGAGTTCGGTGTAGAAGATACGGGTAAGTCGGTTCAAGGACACTTGGGCCAAAAGAGGCGAGGCCCATGAAGATCAGAGTCAACTCAAATTCAAACGTTGAGCATTAAAGTCGAAGAATCAAAACGGACACATTTAAGAAGAAATAATTGTACTTAATTATTCATTTTAATGTCGTTTCTCTATGTATAAATATAAAGGCCAATGGCCATGTAAAGGGGATCTTCCTCTCAAGAGAGAAATACTATAGCAATTTTCGTATCAAATTATAAGTTTATACATATTCATTTTTGTCCCTCAAGAATAGTCTTTCCTACTTAATAAAATACTTGAGTGTGTGAATCCGACATCCACATTTTGGCGCCGTCTGTGGGGATAGAGATTCTTGAGTGGTCAGATTTTTTCTTTATCACACTTCTGAGATAAGCAACAATGTCCGGAGGAGACGCTGCTGAGACATCATTGGCCGAAACCCTCAAAGCTATGCAGCAAACCATGTCGGACATATCACAAAAGTTCTCGGATGTGGAAAAGGCCGTCGATACGTTGCAAACATCCCAGGTATCTCTTAGTCAAAACGTCAATACTATACAAACTCGTGTTCGCTCTTTAAGTGCAGGAAACCCGGTGGGAATCCGAAGAGGGATATTCAACTCGCCAAGTTCCGCTGCACGAAATGAAACCAGCGGACAAACAACTCCCGGTGCTACTAATAATGCAGCTCAGACGTTGGAAGAAGAGACGCAGCTTGGAGATGAAGAACAACTTGCAGCTCAGTACGAGCAGGAGAACCTCGACCAGTTCGAGACCATGAGGAAGGTTAGCCAGGAATTAAAAGAAATGAAATCAAAATTTCATCAAGCTACAAGTTCAGAGCCAGACATCAATCGAGTCATTGAAGAAGCTAGGCGAACACCTTTCATCTCGCGAA